TTACTTTGTTGTTTCAGCAACATTAAATTTAAAAACTGTACTTTTGAGTTAAAATATATATTTATAATTTTAATAAATGACAAATTAAAAAGGCATGAACATTTTTTTTTGTATCGAAAAAGTATCGAACCGAACCGTGAATTTTGTGTATCGTTGCACCCCTAATAGCTACATATGAAGGTTTTTCACAGGTCATTAAATAGGAACAGTCACTGAGTGAATCCGTGTACCGTATTTTCCGCACTATAAGGCGCACTTAAAATCCTTTCTCCTTTTCTCAAATATCGACAGTGCGCCTTATGTATGAATTCTGGTTGTGCTTACTGACCTCAAACAGATTTTATGTGGTACACGGCGCTCAAAAATCTGTCAAGAAAATGTTTTATTACGACTTTGGTAAGCTACGAAGCCGCACCACTTGATTGATCAGGAGTCTCGCGGAGTAATCTGGGTCCAAAACTGTCTGCTTCAGGTCCCAAAGTCAAACGAACACTGCGGCATCACTGAGACTTAAAAACTGTCTAAATTCTTTCATCTTTAATAAAAATGATCGGGTTGCTGCTTTACCAGGTGCAACAATTAAGTTTAACATCCAGACATCCATGAAAACAGAATTTATTCAATTTAACAGAGTTCGAAGTTAGCAGGAAGTCAGCGCACTAGTTTCCACCTAAACATGATATAGCATGTTCTGACTGAGAGATTTCTGAAAAAATTCAAACGTACAGCTCTGCTGTCACTTCCAACATAAACGAAGACAGGAAACTAAACAGCAGTGATGTTTGTAGGGTTACTGGAGATGGACTAGCTAGTACATAATGATTTGCTATGTGATGGATAGCCACACATCTATGTTAGCATAACATAAACACATAGACTAACTTTTTTCCACTCCATAAAAGTTAACATCAGGTTTCCTTATTGTTAGGGACAAATTCAATCGCATGGCAGGATGCTGTAAACGTACCAAACTTCAGTCAGGAGAACAACTGAGATAATTCATCCACAATGTGAAGTTAGTAATTAATATACTGAAACAACATGAGAATAGAGCAGCTGCGAGAGAATTCAACATTAATGAATGAACGGTAAGGAAGTGGAGGAAGCAAGAAGAATCAGTTGAGTAAATTTTGAATTATCTGACTGTTTTGTTTCGCTTAATGCACCTTATAATCTTGTGCGCCTTATGTATGAAAACAGACGCGTTCATCGACAGTGCACCATATAATACAGTGCACATATGGTCCAAAAAATACGGTACACCAAAAATCAGGACAAATGGTGAATAATCTATACCAGGGGTGTCCGCGAGAGTTGAGGCTCAGGTGTGAAATGTATAGTTTTCAGGGTTTTTATCGGTTTTCAGTGTTATTTTGTTATCCTTTTTATCGTTTACTTGGTTTTCCTTGGTCTTTTCACGTTTGTTATGAATAAATCTTCTTTTTTTCGGTACCGGTACTAGTTTTATTTTGTTGTATTTATCCGCGACACCTTAAAGGCCGGTCCATGAAAATATTGTCGGGCATAAACTGGTCCGTGGCGCAAAAAAGGTTGGAGACCACTGCTCTTAATTGTTGTGACACGTGTTCGAAATGCAGAGAGGTGCGCTCGATTTGCCACACGGAGCAGCGCGAGAGTAAAGCACGAGGGAGGGGCTAATAATCGGCTCAGTCATTTTTAATGATCGTTGAAAGCCCAGATCGTAATCGTGATTAAAATTCGATTAATTGAGCAGCCCTAGTTTTTCCTTTCCACTGTTACCAAAGTACTCAGTCATAGAGTCTTATTAAAGTGGTGGGTGGGCTCTCTAACATTTTGAAAGAAGCCAATTTAGCCTAGCGTTAGCCTCAACGTGCTTTGAATCACAGTGGCTATATACAGTGCCTTGAAAAAATATTTGCCCTTTTGAAATTTCTTAGATTTTTTTTTCTTTGCATATTCTTCACACAGAAATGTTTCCCATCAAACAAATTTTGATATTAGAAAATGATTCCAAATAAATACAATCCACGTAAATAGAAAAAATGTAATTTTTAAAACATTATTTATTAGAGGAAAAAAGCTATCAAATACAGTGGTCCCTCGTTTATCGTGGGACTTACATTCAAAAAATAACCTGCGATAGATGAAATCCGTGAAGTAGCCAACTTTATTTTTATTTTATTTTTTATGTTTTAAGGCTATTAAACCCCACACTACACACTTTATACACTTTTCTCAGACAGGCATGAACATTTTCTCGCTTTTCTCTCTTGTTTAAACACTCTCAAAGTTCAAACCTTCGTAGAAAAATAAGTCCAGTATTATAGAATGAAACCAAAGACGCCTGCGGTTGCCTTTGACGATGCAAAATGTTTTGTCGACATTGTTGTGTTTGTTGGGGAGAAAACTTACTAACATACAGTACAGCACTTCAGAGTCACACTGCTAGCGATCGAAGATTTATGTAAACAAGATTGATTGACAATGGTCTACAGCCAATCAGGACACAGAACACAATGTGCTGTAAAAATATTTTTAAAAAGCATGCAAAATTGCACCCAAAAAAAAAATCCACAAACCAGCGAAAAGTGAACTGCGTTATAGCGGGAGACCACTGTATATCACTGTATATGCCCCATGTGAAAAAGGATGAAGGTAAATACTTTACTATGACACTTCATCTGCTGTTCACCACCTACCTTTAATGAAAAACCTGCAGATGGGACGTGGTCGGATCTTCCTGTCTGAAGGATCTTTGACCTCCCCCTCCTCCAGATCATCATCCTGCATACACATACACAAGCCAAATCATGACACTTCACAACACATCACTGTATCCAGACTATTGTTGTGAAGTGTGTCTTATTTGTATTTCAAGTAGAAATTATTTTAAATGTCTAATGAGGAACAATCACTGGGGATGGGTTTTAAAAAAAAAAGATTTCCTAATTCAAATCAATTTTAATTTGAATAATCCGATATCAATCAAATCCTGCAATCATTTTTTTTTAATTAATGTATTTTGCCAGAAATATCAGAATCTCAGCTAAAAGCTCACAAAACTATTTCAACAACCACCAAAGAGATAAAATAGAAAAAAATTAAAGAGCAGATAGACAGATTCTACACAAAGATGTAAACACACGGCTTGTTCACTCGATGGCACGAGTGCTGAAAGCCAACATCTCATCACAGAATCCAAAACTGCAGGTTTCGTCACTGCGAACTCTGAATTTTGCAGCATATTTTCAAGAGGGTTATGTGCTATAAAGGATCAGGCCAGTAAAAACTCCTTTATATTTTTCTGGGTTTTAGCCTCAGTTACTTTGACACAAAGGCATCTGCTGTGATGCTTACAGCTCTGATAAAGCCTCACAAGTGTCAGCATTGTTTTTATACCTAGATGGTTTACACCAAGTTTGTAATTGCAGAGAAATAGTCAGTTTACTTTGGGCATGTCATTTTGCCCAAAAGTGGACCTTGTGAATCAGAATTGAATCAGGTAAAGAAATCAGTGAAAATACCCAGCCCTAACAATCACTAGTGTGTGCCATTCTGCTGATCCAGACATTCTGCTGATAAGATAAAGACTTTTAGTGCCCATTCTGCCTCTCAACTAGAGGCAGAACATGACATCACTTGGCTGGTTGGTACTAACAGACTTGTTAGCCCAGTCTGTTGACAGGAAAAAGAGGACACTAAGACTAAAAAGCCATCTAATGGTAGCCACTTTTGCACTTCTCTTTGCTGCAGCAATCAGTTTTATGTTTAAAAAAAACCCCACAAGTACATTCTGTCCACTTTTACGCTCTGTCTTTTAGGCAGTAAGTGCCTCCTCGTTGTTGGCTAGCTAAACTGGAACAGGAAAATCCACCTGTTAGCTGTAATGTTGGGGTTTGTAGAATATGTTATGAATCAGGTACACTGACAAGTTGCATTTCAACACACTGATTTTTTTTTCTTTTCTTGTCAGGTCAGGTGTACAGGCCGAGGAGCGCAATCACCTGATGTCTTCATGATGTGTCCTTCGGATGCTCATTGCGCAACATGTCTGACAATCCCCGTTATATGAAACGCTGCCTTCAATTTGGAGACAGTACTAGGGCTCACTCCAAACAATGTTAGAACTTGTTTTTTTGAAACATCAAAGCCAATTTTCCATCAGTACCTACTCAGATCAACTCATGACGACTCAACTGGTTTTCCATTATATTTCAGTACCATCTTATGTGCATGCTCGTCATCATAGCAACAGTGCCAAGCATCCTGTGACGTAATTAACATGCGACACGAATGCTACAACAAAGATGGACGCTGAGAAAACAATATCCTTGGTGCTTGGTCTGTGTTTTTTTTTTTTTTTTTTGTCAGACTCGGGGAACATGACGTTGTTTTTGTTTAGCCATTTCCCTTGTTGCCGGGTTTCAAAAATAGTGGTTTTGACTTTGGTGAATGAGAAGCTCTCATGACTCATTGAGTGTTGCTACTGACCAACCAATAGGTGGCATGCAATCTAATGACGTCACATTTTAGTACTTGCTCAGATCGCTTAGAACCCCAGCTGAGTAAATAGCAAAAAACTGGTAACTGGTAGCCCTAGTAGTACCTGGTACCAGTTACTAGGGCATCTCGATTATGGCAAAAATGATAATCACGATTATTTTCACTGAAATTGAGATCTCGATTATTTGACGATATTTATTTAACAATAACAATGTATTAAATAATGACTTTAAAGATTGTCAAAAAATAATATAAAATAGTGTGCAAATACTGATAACAGTGCAAATGTTTGCAATATAAAAAATAAATGAAAAATGTAAACATCTATGTTTAGTAAACTTCGCAGTGTTGCTCTGTGGTGCAGCTACGACACCGTAGCAAAGTTTACACACCATGTCTACTTGATCCACGTCTGACTCCGAACCCATAATGTTTCCACACCACTGAAGTTTTTTTTACCTCTTTTCAACCAACGGCAGTCACTCTCCTCTCCAAATAACTTCTGCTTAGCTTTCCGAGCTTCCCTCGGGTCCTCTTAATCAGCGGTCCCCAACCCCCGGGCCTCGGACCGGTACCGGTCCGTGAGTCGTTTGGTACCGGGCCGCGAGAGTTGAGGCTCAGGTGTGAAATGTATAGTTTTCAGGGTTTTTATCGGTTTTCAGCGTTATTTTGTTATCGTTTTTATCGTTTACTCGGTTTTCCTGGGTCTTTTCACGTGTGTTATGAATAAACTTCTTTTTTTCGGTACCGGTACTAGTTTTATTTTGTTGTATTTATCCGCGACACCTTAAAGGCCGGTCCATGAAAATATTGTCGGGCATAAACCGGTCCGTGGCGCAAAAAAGGTTGAGACCGCTGCTCTTAATTGTTGTGACACGTGTTCGAAATGCAGAGAGGTGCGCTCGATTTGCCACACGGAGCAGCGCGAGAGTAAAGCACGAGGGAGGGGCTAATAATCGGCTCAGTCATTTTTAATGATCGTTGAAAGCCCAGATCGTAATTGTGATTAAAATTCGATTAATTGAGCAGCCCTACCAGTTACTATGACCTAATTCTAATATGACCGAATTAAGAATTCACACCCTTAAAACCCTTGTGTTTACATTCTGTAGTGCGCACAACAAGACATACCTAGGCATGTCAGAGAACAAGAATCCAAACCCCTGCAAAAAAAGAACTAAACCAAAACACTTAAGTTGAAAGCAAAACCTTTTTCACCACTTAAGGCAGAAGCAGGCTACAAATACACATAGGGCTATGGTGGAGCAAATGTGTTGTCCAGAAGTTGTTATGGCTGCCTATACTGTGGTGTGTAAAAGTGTTTTGCCCACTTGCTGATTTCCTATTGTTGTATATGTCAGTCACACTTAAATGTTCACATGACCAAAAAATGTAAACATTAGATAAAGATAACAAAAGTAAACATGAAATTCGGTTTCTACATGAAGGTTTTTATTATTAAGGGGGAAAAAATCCAAACCTACATGGCCCTGTGTGAAAAAGTGATTGCTGCTAAATCCATTGCAATAATTGGGAATAAGTATCTTGGAGGCTGTGGAGGAATTTTGACCCACTCATCTTTGCAGAATTGTTGTAATTCAGCCAAATTGGAGGATTTTTTAACAGGAACCACCTTTTTAAAGGTCATGCCACAGTATTTCAATATTAGGGCTGCCACAAACGATTATTTTGATAGTCGACTAGTCACCGATTATTTATGCGATTAGTCGACTAATCAGATCATCATCCACTGGACGTAAAACTACAGCTTATTGCACCAGCAGCATCTGCTCTTATATAACTATCATTAGCTTACAGCTTTAAGTTTTAAGGTGCTAACTAAAAATAAAGACAAGATGATAGTTTATTCAATTTTAATGAAATTTGCAGATTGTTTCGGTGAAGTTTAATAAACTCCTTGCTATCTAAAATATAACAGGACACCGGAGTATATTCTCCAGCATCTCACACTTCTGATAATCAGCTGTCTGCTTTACGTTTATTCAGCTGTGTAAAAACTATAACTTTAATCTCAGCCAAACCGATTTACTCAGGAACAAATAAAATACTAAAAAAAAAAAAGCCAAACAACAACATTTTTAATTTATCTAAGTGACTCATATATATTTAACCTGAGTCGCGAAAGACGGCGGTGGGTTTGAAAACAATTTGCCGGGAGTCCGGTGTTCTCACGGCGCTAGTGACCTAGCCCCCGGCTAGCTATCGAGCTAGTGGGTAACAGACGTCTCCGAAAACGTCGGAGCGCTTTTGAAAATATGTGGTGTCTTGATAAACTGAGCAGATATTTGAGGTTTACACAGCTACATTCTCGCCTGAAAATATGTTAAACGTTTATTTTGTGACCCAGAAAGAATAATAAGAGTAATATTAAAACTAACTAGCTGCCGCCATTGTTGGAAACTGAGCTATGAATTCTGGGACACAGCTTTCTTCTTCTTCGGGGTTTAACGGCAGCTGGCATCCTTGTATATGCAGTGCTGCCATCTTCTGTTTCAGTCCGTTATTACACTCTTACATCCTGCTTAAATCCTGCTTACACTCTTAAATCCTGCTATTATTCCTGCGTCTTTTGCGATCTTACAAAGCTTCAAACGACACGTCGACTATTAAATCAGTCGTCGACGATTTTGATAGTCGACGTAATCGTGACTAGTCGACAAATCGTGGCAGCCCTAATTTCAATAAGATTCAAATCAGGACATTGATTGCCTGTTCCATAGTCTTCATTTTGTTTCTCTTAAGCCATTCAAAGGTGAACTTGCTGGTGTGTTTTAAATCATTGTATTGATGCAAAAGACAATTGTGCTTCATCTTGAGGTCATAAACACATGGCCAAACACTGTCCTCCAAGAGCAGAATTAGCAGTATCTTCCCAAAAGCCTTGGGGATCATAGAGATATTTCCTGGCAAAACTTATTCACCCCCCCACCTTCATTTAGAAATGTAATTTTGTGTTTACTTGTGTTATCAGTGTGTAACATTTACATTTGTTTGATGATCTGAAACGTTTAAGTGTGACAAACATAGAAATCAGGAAGAAAGTCAGAAAGGGGGAAAAATACTTTTTCACACTAGTCTATAAAACATTCAAAACTGAAAACATATTTCTAGTTTTAGTTATTTGACCGTATCTGTGCAGAGGTTTTACAGGCCCAAGATGCTTTTGTTTTGTACAGCTCAAGTTGTTAAGCCGTTATTTTATACTTACTAAATACTAACACTACTAAATTTAAAAATTGTATCAATAACAATATTATTTCTGCTTAGCATCGTAAATATTGTTATCCCAAACATTCTTGAAATATTGTGATGTAATTATGAGGCTATATCACCCAATCCCAATGAAATACTTGTGTAAAACCCCTTGAATTAAATTTGAAAATCTGTACTTCAACCACATTTTGATTTGATTAAAAATCTAATGTGATAGTGTACAGCGGCAAAACTTTCCAGAACTACTTGATTTAAAAAAATAAATAAAAAACAAAACAGAATTGCATTAACACATCAGTGGTGGGCCGAATATCAGTATATGTATTATATTGCAAAGGGACTTGTATTGTGTGCTTTCTCATCCACAGCTCTATTCGGGTTTTGCAAGAATGTATAAGTCAACTATTAATCAAATACTAACTCTATTTGGACGTTTTTTGGTTTTCCCTCTTTTGCTCTTCACGCAGACCGTTTACTCGCATGCTAAAACGTGACTCGTGAGAAGAATATGGACTTCAAACACAAAAAGAAAGAAGAAACCTTTGAGTTCTGAAAATGTTAAGCCTACAAGGCTTCATATTCTTATTTCCCTATTATGAGTGTGTAACACACACTCAACACACTCAGCAGTAGCATAAAGAGCATCCAGCCAAATTAGGTCCAGTCCTTCAGATTTAACACCACTCTTTATGTTTAAGGCTATTTGTTCTAAAGGTTTATCAATAAAACAAAAACACAGTAGCAGTGCTTCCTGACTAAAGGCTTATTTTCAAACACAAGGGATTTTTACAATTTACCTGCACTCAGCAAATCAGGCAGCACTACTACCAATAGAACTACAATAACTTACATCAATCTCTCCTTCATCAATTTCTCCATCATCCTCATCCTTCTTCTTGTCTCTGAAGGATTCCTGGCGTATCCTCTCCGGCCCTTTCGACCCATCTGTCCTCCTGGATTCGCTGTGTTTAGGAGATGGTGGAAGGATTGACTTTTTCTCCTTTTTACTGCTTTTGTCCTCGCTTTCCTCCTCATCTTCATCTCCCTCTACTTTTGTGTCTTCCTCATCTTCCTCCTCGTGTGTAGGGATGCCAGGCTCCTCTGGGACCTCCTCATCATAATCAAGCTCATGTTCGTCCAGTTCCCGGGAAACTGACACAGAGTCATCCTTCACTTCCCTTAGCGCAGCAGCTCTCCTTGTCTCTTCATCTCTTATTCTTCCATCCTCTTCATCTTTGTTTTTGTAATCCTCCTCTTGATCATCCACTTCAGCTACCTCACATTCTGCAGAGGCAGCTTTTATGTAGTCATCATATCCTTCCTTCCAGTCTTCTCCATCTTTTCCAGCACTAAGGCTCTTGACATGTTCTGGCTCAGAGTCTGGGGATAATGGAGTGCTAACAACTCTCTCCTCATCCTCCTTTCTTTCCCTCTCCTCCGCCACCTGAGGACTGTCTTCATTCCCCTCCATAAGCACAATGCTCTCATCATCCTGTCCCAACTCTCCCATTTCTCCAAAAGGTTCCTCATCCTCTGGCTCCGACACAAAGTCAGGCACCACCTCATCCTCCTCTTCCTCTAATTCCACATGTTTTCCATGGCTTTCCAGCACTTCTATGTCCCCTTCTTCATTGAGGATCTCGCTGTCTGAAATGACCCTGTCCTCCTCTTCATTAGGAGACTCCAGCAACTCACTGTCAGAAAGACCCTTCTCCTCCTCCTCAGGAGACTGAGGGGACTGGGTAGGGCTTTCAGGAGTATCCATGTGAATCCACTCTGGTGCAAAACAAAAACAAAAAAAGCAATCTGTCAAAAAAAGAAAGAAAAGACAACTGTATGTCACCAGTAATCTGATAGCAATTAAATACTGTTTAATGTAATGCTACGTGCCTTTTGTTAATCGATTTAGAAACAGTCAATTAAAAACAGTCACAATTAACCGATAAAATGTCTATAATCACAAATTAAATTTAAAATGATGCACCACAAAAATATGTTAATTCCGCTACCCACTGAAAGAAAAATGGTACAGTTTACTTTTATAGTAACATATAACTGTCATACACCATAACGTTAAATACTTGTTTTTGTTCATTTGGTGATAGCTGACACAAAGAACGGAAAAGAACCGATTTCTATTAACTTTGATAACACCGTTCCTGAGATTAAGACGTAGCTATATGTTGATCACAGCAGTATATGTTTTAAATGAAATTAGTTTCCGGCGCTGCTAATTCACCAGCAAAGTAAACGTTAGCTATAACAAGCTAACTAACAACCACCATTTAGTTTTAGGTGTATATAAGTCTCCATATAGCTCCATGGTACAACTACATGTGTATACATAATTAGATAACATGCTCAAGTTTATAAAGACTACAGGTTTCCCTGTAACATAATGTCACTGGTAACACTTACAATGGCTGGGTCGCGCTAGTTCGCAACAAGGCCCATAACTTGGCGGTACGAAGACAAAGCTAATAACGAGTAAAGTGTCCCCAACCTATGGATAGTTTTCTTCGGCGATTATAAACGCTTGGCTTAACCGTACAAATAAGTGGACACTACCGGTTTAGTACGAAGCGTTCGCACCAGTACACTTGGCCGTCTTACGGTTAACAATGTAGCCACCCCTGAAGCTAAGCTAAAAGAGCAAGTACACTGTACTAGGAGCTAACAACACATTTTTAATCACCTTGCCGACACGAAGCTCTATAAAGACCACGCCTCTACCTTTTCAGCTGCACTCTCTCGCGGATATAACTTTTTACAGTCTGCAATAAATATTAGACGGTTTTATTTTTAGCCGCTGTAGCGATGAAAATAAAACACCCTGCACGGCACAGCGAGAGCGGCCATTACCTCAACGTCATCAAAATACGACAACCGTGTGGTTGGAACCGCGCTGAAAGCTAATCAGGGCAGATCTGAGATCAGTATGGTCCAACGTTGACAGGAGAATATCTGTAATATTTTAACAATGTTGTTAGACATACATGATTTTTAACCAGTTACTTAGAAATAATGGAAGACACTTTTGGGGAGCAGTTACGTCATTCCATGTAAGTATTATTTTTGATTAATGTTTTCTCTTCAATTCACTTGGTGAACTCTCATCTCTGTTGACAATAACTGTAATATGGATACAACGTTTTACCACTAATTCTTTTTGAATTAACTATTTGAGTTAACTTGTCTAATTTCATTTATTTCAGTTCTCCATATTCAAAGACTTTTTTAAACCTTGGTTTAGTTCACTAAAGAACAACAAAGTAATCATCAGAATCAGAATCGTGTTTATTGGCCAAGTATATGTGCAGACACAAAAGCTGAAATCGTTCAGACATGTGACATTTGACTGTTTTGGGATGGGAACGATGGTTGCTGCTTTGAAACAGGATGGTACCAGTGAACAGGACAACGAGGTGTTATATATAGAGGTGAAGACGTCCGCCAGGTCCGCAGCACAGTCTTTTAGCACCCGGCCCAGCACTCCATCTGGCCCGGCCGCCTTCCTGGTGTTAATGCTCCGGAACACACGCCTCAGCTCATGAGTGCTCAGGACTGGAGCAGGGTCGGTTGAGGGGAGAGGGGACAGGACAGGGTCGGTGTTCTCCCTATCAAAACGGGCATAAAAGAGATTTAGATCCTCAGCCAGAGTAGAACTGTCGGCTGAGGGTGATGGTGTTCTCCTTTTGTAGTCCGTGATAGCCCTGATGCCCTCCCAGACCTGCCTTGGGTTTGTGTTGTTCTCAAACCTGGCCTCGATACGCCTCCTGTGCTGCTGCTTGGCAGTCTTGATGCCTCTTCTCAGGTTCTCAGAGTGCGTGTTGCGCGGGATGGTGTTTACGGTAATTTTCGCACGATATGTAACTTTTGTTTTAACAGGTTTCTATGTAACATTTCTGGTAGAGGGTGTGCCACATGCTTATTTCATGAAGATGGTTCTTGCTTTGCGGGAATGTTCCACAGTTTTATAGCATTTTGATTAAATTGTGTGACTGTTATGTAAGTTGGACAAATGCATCCAATTGTTGTCAATTGTTTTATTGATGATGGCTGCAAAATAAATTTCCCAAAAGTGATATTTTCCTCACTAGTCTTTTCTGAAGATGTATTTTTGCATGTTTAGGTGTAGGCATAGCAGTAAGAAGTTTGCAGGTTTATGATTTAAACTTTTACATTAAAACATAAAAATACAGCATAGTAATAGATTTTATGTATAATATACAGAGCAGCTCCATTTAAAATGCACAGTTTCACAGTTGTTTTACCAGTTCAAATTAGTTTTTTGTTTGATATTTCCCTGTTAATTTTACAATTTATGGATCCACAATAAGCAATTATTACATGTAAAAAATACAGGAAATATTCTATGAATATACAACAATTGTGTGAAATTAACTTCTTTTTTTGTAGATTTAACAGTTGTGAGTTTCATTCACTGTAAATCAGTTTACATATTTTGTATGTAAAGCTATCTACTATATTTTTTACAGGAAGTCCCTGGTAACCCCAGCTGCCAGCGTTTTCCTGTAAAAAAGAGTGGACT